CCCAGGAAGAATAGACACCAGGAAATTATCAAAGTGAGAGGTGAAATCATTTTTATTTTCTTTTTGGTGGCAGGATATAAGGGTGGAGGATGGATTTGAAAGGACAGTGCAATGAGTGGGACTGATATACGTGATGAGAAGTTCAAAAGAATCAATAAAAATTATGTTATAAAAATAATGTAAGGCCTAAAAAAACAACGAGTTTGCAAAAGTAATAAAAAATCTCTAATACAGAGAAATGTTCAGACCAGATGAATCTTTCCAGACCTTCTAGAACACAAAGATTATTGAACTGTTACATAAAAGAAGGAAAATAAGGCTCATTACCAAAGTATTTTTGAAGTATCATATTGATACAAGGAACAAAGAAATATTCAACAAAAAAAATCATATAGACCAAGATCTATGATTCACATAGATGCAAAGTTTCTCGTTAATACAGTTTGTTAACATATTCAGGAACTTATCAATGGATAGTAAAATGGCTGAACAGGTCAAGTTGTTTATTGCCAAACATGAAGACCTTAATCCACATGGTCAACCTACACATTTGAATATACATGGACCCACACAAAATGCATATATATGTACATGGACATGCACAAGTACATACACAGAGAGAGAGAGAGAGAGAGAGAGAGAGAGAGAGAGAGAGAGAGAGAGAGAGAGAGAGAGAGAGAGAGAAACACAAACACAAACACAAATACACACTATATCAAAACACTCATTCACCATGATCAAGTTGACTTTACTCCAGAGACTCAGTGATGGACTGGTTCAATACCCAAACATCAATCAATATAAATTAAATATTATAAATGGACTCAAGAACAGAAAACCCACTGTAATCTGTGTAGATAAAGAAAAGAATTTTTGATAAAATTTATCATCCCCTCAGGTATAAAATGCCAAAGAACTTAGATTAGAAGAAATATATTTCAACATAGTAATGGCCATATGTAAGATAACTGTAGCTTACATTCCACTAGGTAGGGGAAAATCCAATATATTTCCAGTACAAGCAAGAAGAAAATGAACTGACTTCCTCAACTCTTTTTAAATATAGTACCATATTCTAAGATAGAAAAAAAGATAAATGAAAAAGTAAAAGCTGTACAAATAAGAAAAAAAAGTCAAAGTACCTATTCTTTTTTTTTTCTTTTCTTTTTTTTTTGGTTTTTCGAGACAGGGTTTCTCTGTGTAGCTTTGTGCCTTTCCTGGAACTCACTTGGTAGCCAAGGCTGGCCTCAAACTCACA